AAGCTGCCAGAACTGTGGAGAACAACAAAAATATTTTTTTTCAAATATATAAATGGCAAMAAATAAGTTGAGAAATAACATTGGCCTGTTCTAGGATGAGGATGGTCACCTCACAAACAGGGACAGGGACAAGGCAAAGATGTGTAATGCTTTCTTTGTCTTCAGCATGGATGATGGATCTCAGTTCTGTGAGCTGGAGGACCATACTGTGGGAGTGATCAGCTCCCAGTTGACCTAGGAGTCTTGGGGGATCTGCTGCTCCATCTGGATCCCTACAAATYTGTGGAGCCTGATGGGATTCATCCAAGAATYCTTGAGGAGCTGCTGGTGTCAATGCAATACCTCTCTCGATTATTGTGGTTTTTGAGTAGTCATGGGAATCCGGAGAGGTTCTAGCTGACAGGAAACTGGTGAGTGTTGTCTCAATTTTCAAGAAGGGCAAGGAGGAGGACTCCAATCAGTCTCAATTCAGTGCCTGGTAAAATCATGGGAAAGATTATGCTGGCAAGTACTGAAAAAYATGGGAGGACAACACAGGCATCATTTAGAGCCAGCACAGCTTCATGAGGGCAAGTCCTGCTTGTCAAACCTGATTTCCTTCCATGACAGTCTAGGAAAGCCAGGAGGTGGCATCTTTTGGGAYTTCTTCAAAGCTTTTGCCACTGTCTCTTGCAGGATCCTTCTGGATCTGTCCAGGAAAAGATTTTCACCCAGAGGATGGCTGGGCATTAGAGCATGCTCCCCAAGGAAGTGCTCACAGCACCAAGCCTGTCTGAGTTCAAGAAATGTTTAGACAATGCTCTCCGGCACATGGTGTCATTCTTGGGGTGTCCAGTTCAGGGCCAGGAGTTTGACWCGATCCTGACAGATCCCTGCCAACTCAAGGATATTCTGTTAGGGAGCTAGAGCACAGCAGTGCCAGCAATGTTTTGCTGGTTTGCTGGGGAGAGCAKCAGCCAAGTGCCTGAAGGGGTGCAACTCGCTGGGCAGAGCAGCAGAGTGTAAAGCCACCTTGTATACTTAAAAACGAACAAAATATGCTGAACAAGGCTGCTCCTTAATTACCAGAACCTTGATGATGATGGTTTAAACTCAGTGATCAGCTGTGCTGCTGAAGAACTGCAGGGAACTGCCCTATAGATGCTACAGACCTTGCGCTTTGAGGACTCTGGGAGTTAGTTTGGGGATTTTTTTGGGGGGGTTTTGGTGGTGTTTTTTTGTCGGTCTTGTTGTTTGTATGTTTTTTTTTTTTTCTCAAGTCTTCTGCAGGAAGGGTTCCCCAGCTCAAGGAGATATGTTAGCTGCCTTGTTAGCAACCAGCTGGCTGCTCACTGTGGCTTTGCTGATAAAGCTGTGCAGGAATTGGTGCCAGCAGAGCTTTCTGTGCCAGGGATCCCACTCAAGAGCTGTGCAGACATGGCCTGAGGGGGCTGTCCAGCTGCCCTGGCTGCTTTGTCTCATGGCAGGGAGAGCACGGTGTCTCCTGTTGCACAGCCTGGACTGCTGGTTCAAGTCTGCCTGTGTTACAGGGCAGGGTGGGATCTGACCTGTAAACCCAAGATGTAGCAACAGTCCATGGGGTGAGTTTGGAGGGATGGAACGGGGTCAGGTGGTGAAATGGAGCTGACCTGTGTGCTCAGGGCCTGGGCATGGCAGTTGTGGCCTGAGTGGCTTCCTGAAGGAAAGAGAGCAAGGTGATCGGGTTGCTTATGGGTGTGTGGCTTTGTCTCCCAAACTGTTACAACTCTTGAGTGTCATGGCTGATTTCAATGAGATTTTGTAGCACCACAGGATGGTTTGGGTTGAAGGGACCTTAAAGCACATCTCATTCTAAGCCCCTGCTGTGTGCAGGGACACCTTCCACTAGACCAGGCTGTGAAGGAACAGGGTCCTGGAGATGCTGGATCCCTAATGACTTCCAGAAAGTGTGTCATCTGGTAGGGGAAGGTGGCTCCAGGAATATCCTTGTTAAGGAAGAGGATGCAGAGAGAGCTTCCCTGTCATGAGGTAAAAGAGGAGCTGTGCATATGAAGGCAAGAGAATCAGCATTAAGGGGAGCCATCTGAGTGTGAAGCTTTAAGCATGCAGAAGGGTGACCAGGGTCTCTTGCCCTGCAAATTCTCAGATGTCATTTGTGTTCTTGATATCATCACACATTTACTTTTTAAGCCACGTTAGTAGGTTTTTTGTACAAATGATGTGCCAGGAGTTCAGACCTTTATAAAGGGATGTACAGGCTGCTTTGTCAGTGTCAGATGAGTTTCTCGTGACAGACTGCATCTATAAACCTGAAATTTGAAACAAAGCAGCTCAGCAAAGAACTTTTTGTTGCTACAGTCTTACATTTACCTGTCCCAACCATKACATAAAAAAGCAATTTTCTTTTCAAATGGCTATTTTTTTTTATGAATTCAATCAGGTTCTGTCCTGTCTGCCTCCCCTCTTGCTTTTTTCCCCTCCCAGCACAAAGGCTGCCAGGAAGGAAAAAAGTTTTAGTCTACCAGTCAGAGTCCAGCACTGAAGGTAATAAGAGCACTGCATGGGGTGAGATCAGGATGTCTGTACTCCCCTTCACTTCACTGAGTTCCTGGTCCTTATTCACTTCTGCTGCTCTTAAGTTTTCCAAGCCACATGAGAGCTAAAGAACTGATTGGCTTTGCTGCCATCTAGGTGGTTGGAAAAGTAATAATGGTCACTTGGCTGTGTTGTTTGCCCAGGTGCCRGAGACTTCAGAATGTACAGTTACATCTTCCCTTTTCAGCTGGCTGGRATTCCAGCTCTTTGGAAGTGAGACTGGTTCCCTGGGTCAGGCACCTCCAGCCAGGCTGGACRCTGCACAGCAAGGCARTGGGGTCAAGCTGGGGGTGCTGGAAACCATCAGGTGGCTTCTCTTGGTTTAGAACCAAGTCTGAAGAGTGGGAATGGGCAAAGTAGTTCCTTTCACCTGTGTTTTGATGCTTTTCAAACATTYTGATGGTTTTGCCTGAAATGCAAGCGGAAGCAAAGGAAGTGCTGTGTGAAAGCACTGTGGTGATAGAAAGCATCCTGCTCCTGGGATGCAGACCCAGGAGAGGGCAGCAGCAGCCCAGRCTRCAGGCTCCTGCAGCTGTTCCAGAGCTTTGCTTTTCACTTCCTCAGTGGGAGATGAGCCTGCAAAAAGCTGGGAAAGAAATGCAGGAGGGAGTGAAAGGCAAACAGCAGTCAGAGGGAGGAGCAGTATGCTCCTTACCCACAGAACTGTGTGCTCTCCTCGTGGAATTGGAAAGGTGAGCACAAGGAAACACTGTCTGCTACACTGACACTGCTGTACAGAATATGGAGTGCCTTTCCAAGTCCTGGGGAAGCTGCTGGGGAATGCACAGGCTGACAGGACGCTCAACAGATCTTGGCTCTGATGCTGGAGACTTTTATCACCTATTTCCTAGTAAGCTCTCATGTTTCCTCATGATGCCTCCTTTGCAAAACACTTGAGGATAAAGCAGAGTAAGTAGCAGCACTTAGCTGACATGGCCTAGCTTTTAAGACCTGCTCTCTGTGGGAGAATGAGTACCACAAGTGATCTCTTCTACCCAGGAAAGCTGCTGTTCCTTCTCCTTTGKCATTTCAGGTGTGGGCTGTCTGTTCTTCCTCCTTGCTGAGCTTTTTAGCCTCACATTTCATAAGAGCACAGAGAAACTCAGACTGGTCAAGCAAATTTTGACCACAGCCTTACCCTTTTMGGTCCTGATTTCTCCCTGCAGTTGAGTGTGTGCCTTTGAGACCAGCCAGACAGGCAGCTTATTCTTGAATTCTTGATCTCACTACGTGTGGAAAACACTCCCTTGGAACGCCCACCTTGCCARAACAAAACATTTATCCCATGAGGGGGAGGAGGACGTGTTTTAAGCATTTTTGAGTCATATTTGTCTGCATAATAGACTACTAGAGTAGCAAGCGCCGCATTTGTGTGGGAGTCCATCTTCCCCAAGATCCTATAGGTGATTTCTTGCTTTCCCTACTTAAACCTTAGTAATGGCTCTGCTGTGCTCTTCATGTGGCTTTAAATTGTCTGTCTCCATTTTCCTGATTTGTTTTTTTTCAGGTCACAACTTCTGAAAGTAAAATGCAAAACTGGTGTTTATCAAAGCTCTCCCACAGCACCAAGCCTGACAGAGTTCAAGAAGCAATTGGACAACWCTCTCAGGCACCTRATGTGACTCTGGGMTGGTCCTTTGCAGGGCCAGGAGTTGGATTTAAGAGCTTTGTGGGTCCATTCCAGCTCAGCTTATTCTGTGATYCTGTAAAATAATTYGTTAAAGAAATTTTAACYTTGTGRAAAAGACCTTGGTTGCTTTTTAATAACTGCAGTGACAAAGGGAAAAATCTTTCTCTTCCATTTACTCTTCAATTTATAGGCATCCGAAGCTTTTTAAAATGTTTCTCTTAATCCAGTGCCTAAGCAGAACAGCTTCTGAATGATCCCTGCTTGTCTCTTTGTACAAGTTCAGGCCATTGTTAACCTCTTAAAAAATAATTATAGCCAAACTTTCATCTTGAATATCTACACAGTGTGATTTTCTTTTGAAGTGAGGACTCATTTCCTTGGTCTCTGTAACAAACAGGAACAGTATGTACTCAATGSTTGAGAAAGATCAGCCCAGAGCATTAGAGACTTCATTATCATTTAATGATTTTTCTTTATGCTGAGRTTTCAGTCATCTTCTTCCCTGCATGTAGAGGGGAGGGGGTTTTTGTTTCAGTTCCATCTACAGAGAGGAGTCAGAAATGGACCACCTGCAAGAGTGCTTTGTGTGCAGCTAGTGGCTGGTTTGGGAACAGACCCACATTCCATGACTGCTCATTGTTCCCCTTCCACCCTGGAGCTGGCACTGCTCTGAAGAAAAGCATTGCTGTGGTGTTGAGCCATTTCTGAGGTGTTTTCTGTTCACCTCCAGCCAGCTGCAAKCTGCAGAGCACAGATCCCTGAGGTTTCATTTTCCCTCTTTCCTCTTCTTCCACAGAGACTCCCCAGCTGAACCCYGTGATGGAACCCCTGTCCTGGATGYTGGGTACCTGGCTCTCAGACCCGCCAGGGGACGGCACCTTCCCTACAATGAAGCCCTTCCAGTACCTGGAAGAAGTGCACATCTCTCACGTGGGSCAGCCCATGCTCAACTTCTCGTAAGTCCAGGGGTCTGTCTGTGCTGGCAGCAGCTGTTGGGTTGGAGCAGCATGGCTCCAGGGTGATTTGTTGGTTGGGTTTCTTTTTCAATGGCAAAGAACACAAATTTTCATCTACCAAATGAGATGATGCTGTGGTATGTGACTGCATGCTCTGATTTCCGTTTTCCTTGAAAACTTGTGATTAATTGACTTATAATAAATAGAGGAGCTATGGTATGGCTACCAGGTTTGTCCATTTTAAGCTGTGGTCCACTGTCTTTACCACTGTGAAAATCTGAGAAAAATTAGTGCTTTTCAAATATGGCATAGGAGACAGGTAGCTTAACTACCGTTTTGGCTGCAAGTGATTGTTCTAAGAGAAATCGAAAGAAATACAGAGGGAGAGAAATGACAAGTTGGCTGCTGCTCAGTGCTGCTCCAGTGCTCGTTTGGGAGGGGTGAGCTGGACAAAGTGTTGCTTTGMAAACCAAGAAAAGAAGAATTGTGAGATGGAAGTGCTGTGTGAGCGATGCCCTGTGTTCCTGGAGTGTGATGGAGCTGCCAGCTCAGCCTGTGACTGCTTYAGTTTCTTAGTCCTTTCCAAAAGGAACAAAGCTCTGACAGCCTTGCTCTGGCTGCACCTCCCTCYCCAGCTTGTGAACAGTTGCTGATTTGAGTCAGCTTTTATTTTMTTCCTCCTTTTCTTTGTGCCAAGGAGTTATTACACAGCTGTGAGCTGTTGAGCTTTGGGAAGCACCAGGAAAACAGGCAGCAGGCTTGGAGGACAGAGACYCTGTGCCTTCCTGGCTCCTGGAGCAGTGGCTGTTAAAAGACAGTCTCTGAATCCTTTAAATACTCCCAGCACTGAGAGCTGCCAGATTTAAGTTTGTTTTTCCTTTGATAATAACCCATGTTATGGGTGACTAAACCTACCATTCTTAATGCCTCCTGAAGAATAAATAAGAATCTGAACTGAACTTTTTGTTTATGAAGRGGGTGATGGGAGAAATATGGCTGCTCTGTTGTTGCCTGCTGCAAGGAATATACAGGAAAACCCAACTTGCCAGGTGTAAAAGCTAAATAAAGATGATACAGTAATTCCAGATACTTATTGAGAAAAGGAAGTTTTTGAGACAGAGTATGGCTTCAGCATCTGTGAAACATCTGAGTTCCTGAGGGGTTTCAGAGCTAGTTCTTAGAAAGATCCAGGGCTGTGGAAAATCTGAAGCTTGAACTTAAAGACTTAACTCCAGCTCTAAGAAATAGCTGTGCCTCTGTAAAACAACCGTATTTTTTGAGTTTTACATCTCTTAACTGTGAAACTTTGTCAGTCTTTTACCCTTCAAAGAGTGCTGCAGACACTCATGTAGTTAGATAAAAGAAAACCAGGCCAGAAAATGTCTTTTGGAGTGCAAAACACATCAGCTTTTGTGCTCTGCTTTCCCCTCAGGTTCAACGCCTTCCACCCRGACACCAGGAAGCCCATGCACCGGGAATGTGGATTCATCCGCCTCAAACCTGACACTAACAAGGTGGCCTTCATCAGTGCCCAGAACACAGGTACACACACCTGATACCCACACTGGGCAAGTGCTGGGCCATTTCATCACTTTTTCAGAAAGTTCTTGCACATCTCACAGTTTTATTTAATTAATTTTCCCTCTGGGAATCGCTGCTCTTTGGCCCTGGACCCACAGTGGTTCCTAAACTTAGGAGAACCTCCCAGTGTCTGGATRTAGCACCTTGGTTCTTCTCACCTTAGGGGGACTGAATGAGAAAGAACCACATCTCAATTACTACAAGTGAAAGTGTTAAACCCCAGTTGATGYTTAAATTTGCATCTAAAATGGCAGGTGCTGAAGGGAGAAGTGCCAGTTGTGCCGTGATGCTCATCCCACACGGTGTGAATAAGTCTGGCTGGATTTTTTTGAGCAGCATTCTGTGATTGAGGTTGTGTGGATCTGCAGTTGTCAATAGTGCTAGGGCAAATAAAACCATTTTTCACAGCGTGTGATGGTCTGTTATGTAGGCTAATAAATCATGGAATGGGTTGGGTTGGAAGGGACTTTGAAGCCCTTCTCATTACACCCCCTCCCATGGGCAGGGACACCTTCCACTATCCTAGGTTATTCCAAGCCCCATCCAACCTGACTTTGAATATTTCCAGGGATGGGGGAGCCACAGCTTCTCTGGGCACCCTGTGCCACCACCCTCATAGGGAAGAATTTCTTCCTTATATCTAACCTAAATTTCTCTTTTTACAGATTAAAAACATTCTCCTTGTCCTATCCTTATCTGCATGTGCAAAACGTCCCTCTTTTTTATAAGCCCCCTTTTAAGCACTGGAAGGCCAAAATAATAATTGTCACATGCTTAGTAGCCTAATAATATGTATGTCCTTGCTTGTCCCTAGGTCTGGTGGAGGTGGAGGAAGGGGAGGTGAATGGACAAGAGCTCTCTATAGCTTCTCACTCCATAGCCAGGATCTCCTTTGCCAAGAAGCCCCACGTAGAGCAGGTGAGTGCACACAGAGTGAGCCATTCCCATAGCACTGCTTGCCCCAGAAGGAGTCTAGCTGAGAGGATAGGTTAATTAGCATGCTTTAATTACAGAATGCCATCAGGGGTTCTTGGAAACACYGCATGGCATCCTGGCTTATTTCTGTAAGAGCCTTCAGAAGATATTTTCCACATTACRAGACCCAGAGGGATCATTAAGATAAAAACTGACAGGCTGGATTAGACCAGCTGACCCAGAATCCTGTCTCCAGCAGTGGCCAGTAAGAGTCCTTGGGGAAGAGAATAGGGAAGTCTTGGCTAAATACTCTTTTATGGCAGTGGGATTAGTTATTAATGCTGGTTTCCTGGATTGACTGCAGTATGAGAGTGCCCATTTAAGGTATGGTCAGTTTTGGGCCTCATGAGGATATTTTAGGAACACTTGTTTTTCAGAGCATTCACACCTTGTTCTGGGCTCTTTTCCCATCTSTGGCTGCAGGGCAGGGCTGGTACTTGGTGTCAGCTCCACCTTTGGTTGGCTGCTTTTGGGGGTTTGACTTTTTTGGGGGKTTGACATTTTTGGGTGTGTAGCAGAGGTTTATAGACACAGCAGGAAGGGGTACAGCCAGCTGTGAGTACGATGGCTCTGCTGGAGTTAGTGTGGCATCCTGAGGTCACCGCTGGGAGTGTCGCTGTCACATGTGAAGCTGTCGTGGCTGAGCAGCAGCTCAGAGACAGCAAGGCWGAAYRAGATCTCAMAACCTGGTTTTGTGTGCTCTAAATYTGACYCACAGACAATGGACAGCACAAATTYGTGCAGATGTAGACCAAAATTTTATTTGCCTRCACAGGTAGTGCCCTAACTTTGGGGAGTCCTRACTCCCCTGCCTTTGGATACATGTTTTCAGTTGTTGGGTTTGCCCTTTCCCAGGAACAGTAGCAGAAGTAAAGCCATTAGATACTGTGGATGTCAGCAGGGGACCAGAGCTCTTAAGTGCAGACATTTAAAGAAAAGGGACTGTCCTCTTTGAGTCACTGCCTGAACTGTGGGCAGATACACTGGCAGGRGGAGAGGGGAAAGCACAGAAAGCCAGCAGGTGTCTTGCTAGCTGAGGGCTCCAAGGCTGGTTTTGGCTGGAAGAAGGAATCTCTGGAGCTGGAGATCCATTCTCATCTGGCAGCTGAGGGCAGCTCAGGCCCAGGGACTGGTGCTAGTGAGTATCTGAGGCTCTTGCTGGTGAAGGGGGGTGTGGAATAAAAGGGGTGTCAGGTAAGCAGCTCCCAGTGCCTTTTCTTTYTACCAAGAACAGCTTAAGTTACCTGTGGTGAGAAGGACACGTGTGCCACTGCTGTAGCTGCTCATTTTGAGAAAAAATCACCCTAGAAATCACCCTAAAATCACCCTATTGTTGCTGAAGAGTAGTTCAGGGTGGCTGTGGCTTGGCTGAGCTGGCACTGGGGCAGGAAGGCCCATTTCCCACACCAGGCTCATGAGTGGTTCATGAGTGGTTTAGTTTGCTTGAAGAATCACTTTTAAACGTGTTATCAGTGCAGATTTAATATGGATAATTCACTAATATAGATTAGTGAAAGCACAGCTTAACAAAATTTGATGGCAAGGTTCCCTCTGTTACCACTCATGAATGAAACACCCAAAGGAAAAGTGGGTTTGAATCAATTTAGAGTGATTTACATGGAGACCAAAGACATGGAGRGTAAGGGAGACCTTTGGAAGGGTTCCAAGAGGATTGTTTTGTTTTCCAAGCTCCTGATGGAGCTCAGGTGTGGCAGAGTCCAGTCTTAGTACCAGACTTGGTCAGTGGTTTATGTTTAAAGGGACAAATACAAGGAGTAAGGGAGCCCCTCATGCTGAGTCACTGGGTTTGGGATGAGCATCCCCAGGACCAGCCTGTTTTCAAACACCTTTAGAGCTCAGGACAGATTTCCTGRTGGCTGGAGACCCATGGCACATGGGAATTCAGCCTGGAGAGGTGCAGCTGCTCAGCCTGRCTTCAGCCCCTGGAGATCTCAGCAGAGATGGGGAAGGTCAGTGTCACCACACACAATCCGGGTGGTGTCACCATTCACCAGCTGAACTGACCTGCCTGACTTCTGAGGTTAAAGGACCGGATTTGTGGACAAGGAGAGAGCAGTGGATGTTGCTTCCCTTGAATTCAGCCTTTTCTCACATTCCTGTCCCAGTGCTTCATGTTTCCTCTCCAATGTGGGAAGTCTCACATTTTTCCACCAGCCAACCTTTGCCTGAAGCTGGTTTCTAAGAGAAAAATCTCCCTTTTTTTTTCTACCCAGCTCGTTTTATTCCCTCCTTTTGCATTTAGGGTTTTATTGCCTGACCTGCAGTGGTCTATTCAGGAAAAAATGGGCCATTCAGGAACCCTGAGCTAAGGTCACACATGTTCAAGTTCAGTCACTTTTGTCTTCCTTTTAACTGTGTTTTCCTGCTCTGGGGATTTGAGGAACACTGATGCATTACAAACACTGTAAACAGGAATCCAGACATCATTTGTGTGTGACCCTGTTCATGCTGCTGTGGCCCCTATGGATGCTGGAATGACAACATATCCTCCATGGATGGCCCTGTGTGGCTCTGCTTCCAAAAGGAGGATTTATTGGATATGGGTATTGAGGGCACACTGTGGGCRTAGGAATGGTGCTGTTAACAGAGAGGATGGAGCACACAGCCTGGCAATAGCTCATGGTCATGCCCTTGAGTGACCTCAGGGAAACGAATGAGTTTGGAAAAACCTCTGTATTTGAGGAATTTCTAAGTGGGGCTGATGGAAGGGACTGTGAATGAGTCGTGCTTGCAGCTACCATACCTGGGTGTCATCCACGTGGTGTCCTGGCCATTCTCCTGCCAGGCTGGGCACCTGGAGTGACCCCCTGCATCCTTCTGAAGCAGCGACTGAGGCTCAAAAAATATGGTCCCACTTCTTTATTTTGATGACASCTCAGTGCAGCCCTACAAGCTGTGCTGAGCACTGACCCTTAGCTGCTCCCCCAGCAGTTTGGAAGCTGGTGAAGCCCTGGTTTCAGGTGTCTGCTTGCTCAGCTCCTAAGAGGTCCAGCTCCACAGGTCTAGCCCCAAATTGCCTCTCTCAAGGTTTGGTGCAGCTCCCCTGTGCTCAGCACTGGAGGTCACACCTTGAGTGCTGTGTCCAGTTCAGGGCCTCCCAGCTTAAGGAAGGATGTTGAGATGCTCAGACGTGTCCAGAAAAGGGAAACAAGGCTGGTGAAGGGGCTGGAGGACAAGCTCTGTGAGGGGCAGCTGAGGGAGCTGGGATTGTTTATCGTGGAGAAGAGGAGGTGCAGGGCAGACCTCATCACTCTGCATTCCCTGACAGGAGGGGCAGCCAGGTGAGGGTTGTTATAGGGTTGTTATCTTCCCCCAGGGAACCAGCAATAGGACAAGAGTGCACAGTCTTAAGCTGCACCAGGTGGAGTTTAGGCTGGACATTAGGGAAAATGTTCATCACTGAAAGTGTGATTAGGCACTGSAATGGGCTGCCCAGGGCACTGTCCTTGGAGGTGTTCAAGAACAGCCTGGATATGGCACTTAGTGCCRTGGTTTAGTTGATGAACTGGTGTTAAGTCATAGGTTGGATTTGATCTCAAGGGTCTTTTCCAGCCTAATTAATTCTGTGATTCTGTGAACCTGCCTTGTTCCATGGATAATGGTATTGGTGGAGCTGGTACTGTGGTGAGGGCTGCTTTCTTTAGGAGAAAAAACTCCTCTGTTGTAGTGAGGATAGCCTTCCATGAAGGTGTGTTGAGAGCAGGCAAAGGGAAGAAAGCGCAGCTGAGGAATTTCACTTGTGGATGCTCRTCACTTGATTCCCTTGTTTCTTTTCCCACCCCTGCTTTAGATTACCAGAAAATTCCGGCTCAATTCCGATGGGAAACTCGAACAAACTGTCTCAATGGCAACCACTACGCAGCCCATGACTCAGCACCTCCACATTACCTACAAGAAGGTGATGCCCTGACGCCGGGAGYGCCGGCTCTCCTCACCGAGGGCAAGGAGCAGGACACGGTGCCCCAAGAGCAGCAGGGCAGGACAGTCCCAGAGCCGGCTGCCTGTGCTCATCCCCTGGGCCCTGGAGCTGCCCGTCCTGTTGAGAATGTTACTCAGATGTTTCTGTAATGGTATATAAAAAAAAAAATAAATAAAATGCTTTTATTTTTATGGCTGTGTCTTTGGCGTGATTGCGGGGCGGTGTTTGCAGCTCGGCGTTGTCACGTTGTCTGATAGGAAACTCATTGTCAAGAAACTAAGTGTTTGAGAGTGAAAAGCTTTGCCAAATCATTTTTATARTATTAGCACTTTTTAAAAGSTTGGGCTTGTCATTCTTTTTGGATCTGTGTGYGTTGRGGGTTGAGAAATACCTGTGTCTGCAAGGGAGCAAGGGGCATTTTTTCCRCTCACCAGTTTGASTCAGACTTATTTCCCTTAAAGACCAATGGAGGAATACCAGTATAAAGCTATTTTYAGTAGCCTGGTTYGTGTCTCAAMCCTTTAGCTTGTGGAGTATTTTAAATCCTACTGTGTAATGTGGGTTATTATTGTGCTCGTGGAGGGGCTTTGGGTGCCTGTTCATCAGCAGGGGCTGGGCTGGAGATCCAACCTCCTGGGCAACCTGGATAACTTCAGAGAACCTGCAGGTCCTGGAATGGATTTGTACTGCAGGAAAAGACCCTGACACCTCCAGAGCCTGTGCAATGAAATTTGGTTTAAATAGTGGGAGAGAGCGTGGAAGTAGGTAGGAATGAGTTGAGATGGACTTGCAAAAGCTTGCAAAATCCAGACGAAGCATTCTTTATTATTCAGGGCTAGTATTTATGTTTTTCTTACTACAATAAACATTTGTCTCATAGTTCATAAAACTTATAACAATAATCCATACATCTCAATAAAATTTAACTAACATCTTTTTACCACAACTATACTATCTCTTTTCCATTCTTGCTATTTTATTTTTTTCAACTTATACTTTGTAACTTCTTCAAAAATACAAAACAATCTAGTCAACATCCAAATTGTTCATCCTTGTCTCTGTAAAACTTTCAAAGCAACTGTCAACCGTCACATAGGAGCACCATCTTGCTGTGGGACAGCAGAAACTCAGGCCCTGAGCCCAGTGGTGCTGTCCAGMAGTTTGAAGGGAATTGGGGCAGTGCTGGAGGTCAGGGCTGGACCTTGGGATGGTTCAGTGCAGAACATCACAAGGGTGTGGGGGACAACTGTGAGCCAACAAACAGGAGAATCTGCCACTGGCTGAAGGGCACTGCCTTTGGGAGAAGTGGACTCAGCTGGGATGGATTTCATATTTAGGGGGTCTCCCCTTCCCCATTCTGGGGCATCCCCAGGAGCTGTATGGTGGCTTTGTGTCCCAAAGGGTGCCAGTCCCTTGCTGCCATCCTGCTCCATCCCCTTACATGACCCAGGAGCTGCGGAGCTTCTGGCATTGGGGCTGAGCTTCTTCCCACCCCTCCCTGCTGCCTTGGCAGAGCTTGTTTCCCACCTTGATGCCTTAGGATTTCAGTTTCTCCATTTCCATGTCTCTGTACCCCTGGGATTCTTCAGTGTTTAACTCCAGACTCCACAGACAGTGCTGAGCTCCCACTCTCCCATTTTTACACAAAACAATTCCTCTGCAGCCCCAAACTCAAGGACACCTCCCTGKGCCAGGCCCCAAGAGATGGAAACAACAGAGAATTGGGGGAGCCAAGTTGGAGTTTTTGACTGCATTGGCTGCAGCTGCAATTGGAGGATTCAGCAAATCCCGATGTGCAAATGGACAAAAGTGAGAAAGGGTGAAAAAGCCGTGAGCCATTGTCCATTGTGGGTGCAGCCCCTGGCTGGGCTGGGACTGCCCTGGATGGCCCTGAAGGCCCTGCAATAACAGAACTGCTTTGAATTCTCTCAATTCTGTCCAGACTCTGGTTTTAGGTCAGCCCAGTTCAGGCATCAGCCCGAGGAGAGGGTCATGGTTGAGAGAGATTTGAGTGAGAGGCTGATCCCAGCAGAGGCTCTGCAGCACTGGCAGGARCTTTGCTGCTCTTTGGCAGGAAAAAGCATCCTGGATCACAAACATCATCAGGCTGAATGTGACCTGGGGCACGGGCCATGTGTGCAGGCACAGCCCTGGGGCACAGCAGAGTCCTCCATGCTCTCACTTTATCCTCCCAGCGCTGCAAATGGATGTTAACTTGCTGGGAACTGCTCTCAGCCTTGCTGGTTTTCAGCTGGGCTTTCAGGAGGAGCAGTGGGAACCACCCCAGTGCTGGCTCCAGGCRAGTCCCACCGGGCTATGGTGGTTTTGGCACGTGCAAAAATGAAATAAAAGCCCTGGTCTCAGGAGAGCCGGCCAGCCGAGAGCGGATGAGCGCTCCCATTAATGTGTCATTAATGTGCAGCTCTGGCGTCGGCTCTTTTGGCAGTGCAGAGGCAATTACAACCCTGCTSTAAAGTGTTGCACATGGATTTATTTACTGCCTTATTAGTGGCATCTGTTCTCCCAGAGAAGAGGCTCAGCTGCTTGCTCTGGTTCAGAGAAATCATTGGGATTCATCACATGGATGGTCTGAGCTAACTCACATCCTTGGGCTGGAAAGGGGGCTGAAGGAGGTCAGGGCACTGCTGTGGCTATCTTTTGACCACTATGGCTGCATTTTGGCCACTGTGATTGCATTTTGGCCACTGTGGCTGCATTTTGATGCTGCTTGTTGGTTTAATGCMTCTCCCCAGCACCTGAGCTCAGTACAGCATGAAGAGGGCACAGAGCTTCACGCCAAACCTGAAGGATGTGGCTGTGTTGGAGATTCAGCAGCGTTTCTCTTCCCACCTGTCTCGCAGCCAACTGCCCCACAACGTTTTACTGACAGAAAAATCACAGAATTGTGGAATCATTAAGGTTGGAAAAGCCTCCAAGATTGTCAAGTCCAACCATCAACCCATCACCACCACTGTGCACACCACTAAACCACGTCCTCGAGTGCCACATCCACACATTTTATTTAACACTTCCAGGGAYGGTGACTTCACCACTGCCCTGGGCAGCCCATTCAAATGCTTGACAAGCATTTCAGGGAAGATTTTTTCCCTAATATCCAGCATAAACTTCCTTTGGTGCAGCTTAAGGCCATTTCCTCTTGTCCTGCCCCTTGTTCCCTGGGAGCAGAGCTCAACTTCTCCCCGGCTTCCCCCTCCTGTCAGGGAATCGTGCAAGACAGAAAGTCCCACCTGAGCCTCCTTTTCTTCAGGCTGAGCCCCTTTCCCAGCTCTCTCACCCATTCCTTACAAGGCCTGTGCTCCAGACCCTTCACTTTTCTGTTTCCTCTCCCTTCTCCAGTGAGAGCCCTGGTACTGCAACACACTCAGCTTGCTCTGAGCTGCAGTTGCCCGGGCTCCYCACTGTGCTGCTGCTGAGCCACAGAGCCCAAATGTGAGCCACAGTGGCCAAATCACTGCTGCAGCATCCGCTGCCTTGGCTGCTGTCCTGGCCTGGCTTTGCTGCTTTGCACATTTCCCGAGGAAAATGGATATGGGGTTTGTTAACTGAATGTTGTGACAAATGCAAGTGAAGTGGCTGCAAACCCACTGGAGAACCCACAGTTCATTTAGGGCACAGAGCAGGATGGGAGGAGGAGAGCACCTGGAATGGGAACGTGGGAAGTGCCATCCAAAAGGTTTTTGCTGCTTATAGTGGCAACAATAAAATTCCTCAACAAAAATTCACCCGASCAAGGTGCCAGGTTGGGATCCAAAGCATGGAATTACGAGTGTGAATATTTATTCATGGGCATGAGACGTCCCAGCCAAATCAGGGTGCCCAGGTGTGGTTTTATCCGAGGTCCTCAGACCCATCAGGCACTCAGGTAGCACAGACTGAGCGCTGACACCCACACTGACACATCTCCAGTCACGGTAACATTTGGCAAAGCTGCTCTGTGGCTGTTTGTTCATGGATCCGGGTGTCCTTGAGTCCCTGTGGCTGAYCTGTGACACCAGACCACGCTGGGAGGGTCTCAGAGCCTGGGATGCTGTGGTACCTTGGTCACCCCAGCTGCTCTTCATCCCTCAGGGACTGCTCTAAGCCTCCCAAAAGCAAAGTCCTTCTCTCYAGGGCCRGGCTGTCCTTTTGTTTGTTTTACCTCAGCAYGMACAATACCCAAGTCTGCAATAAAACTCCACTMCCTCATCKCATCGCAGTGTTTAACTAACATCCAGTGTATATATACWCATTAAGGCAATATACTTTTGTAAGATAAAGGATGCTTGATGGTCAGGGAAGGGATTTTCCATCGCATTTGCCAAGCCTGCGGCGCACCCGAGCCTCCATCCGCTGCTTCCCGGCAGCATCCCCGATCCGAGCAGCCCCTCCTCACCTGCCCACGGGGTTCGGCCGAGTGTCTCACCGCTGATAAGTGGCAGCGGGACTGCGGGCAGTGCGAGAGTGACTCAGCCACTCCAGCAAACTCGGGACTCGCCTGGCTCTGCGGCTCCTCGGCACGGATCGCTCCTGCAGCCTGATTTGCTGGGAAGCTGCCAGCCGACTGCCACCTCCTCCTCTCTGCAGGCAGCTCTGCCCCATTCCCCGCTCATCGCCCGTGCCTCCGGTGACAAAATGACCCGCCGGAGCAGAGGGACACGGGGCTGAGTGCCTGTGGCAGGCACGGAGCGGACGAGCCGGGGATGCGGCCGGAGGATGCGGCACGGAAGGTACGGGCAGCGGGGGTGCGGGCGGAGGGGCAGCGGGGTGGGCAGCGCTCAGCCTGGCACCCTGTCCTGGAGGGGGCTGTGACATCCCGGGATGGCCTGACCGCCTCAAGCTGGAGGGGGGCAGGAGCTTGTGCCGCGGGAGAGGCTCTGTCCTTGTCCCCGAGCCTTTAAGGGCAGGTATTCCAGGTGTTGGAGGACCTGGAACTACAGGGAGCCGTTCCTGGGTGGGTTTATGAGCTGCTTGTGCCCATGCCCCAAGCCCCCAMAAGCCTGTCTGCCCTGTGGGGCCACGAACAAGAATTAAGGGTGCGTTTGACCTTATTTCAACTGCTTTGTCCCAAAACCTGATCTGCTGGGGGTTGTGCTGATGCAGAAAGCCAGTCTGCCAAAATCTGCCTGCCAAGGTCGGTGGGGCTGTGTAGATCCCAGGAGGGAGGCTGATAAAATAAAACAAAACCGCTTTTCCTCACTGCTCTGTGATTTTGCATCAGCACTCCTCATCCCCACAAGGACTCCCCACCCTTGGGTGAAACGCAGAATTTGGCTTGAAAAAAGCAGACAAA